TTGGATGAGGGGATTGAGCGCACCCTCAGTAAGTTTGCAGATGACATCAAGCTGGGTGGGACTGTTGATCTGCTTGAGGGTAGGAAGGCTCTACAGAGGGATCTGGACACGCTGGATTGATGGGCCAAGGCCAGCTGTGTGGTATTCAACAAGGCTCAGTGCCGGGTCCAGCACAGGTCACTACAGCCCCATGAAATGCTACAGGTTTGGGAAGAGTGGCTGGAAAGCTCCCTGGCAGAAAAGGATCTGGAGGTGTTGGTTGACAGCTGGCTGAATATGAGCCGACAGTGTGTCCAGGTGGCCAAGAAGGCCAAAAGCATCCTCGTTTGTATCAGAAATGGTGTGGCCAGCAGGACTAGAGAAGTGACTGTCTCCCTGCACTTGGCACTGGTGAGGTTGTACCTTGAATGCTGTGTTCAGTTTTGGGCTCCTCACTACAAGAAAGACATTGAAGTGCTGGAGCTTGTCCAGAGAAGCGCAACAAAACTGGTGAAGGGTCTAGAGAATAAGTCTCATGAGGAGCGGCTGAGGGAACTGGAGTTGTTTAGTCTGGAGAAAAGGAGGCTCGAGGGAGACCCTAACCTGAAAGGAGGCTGTAGCAAGGTGGGTGTCAGTCTCTTTTCCCAGGTAACAGGTGATAGGACAAGAGGAAATGGTCTCAAGTTGCACCAAGGGAGGTTTAGAATCGATGTAAGGAAAAATTTCTTCACTAAAAGGGTTGCCAAGCATTGGAACAGGTTGACAAGGGAAGTGGTGGAGTCACCATCCCTGGAGGTACTTAAAAGGGTGTAGATGTGGCACTTAGAGACATGGTTTAGTGGGACTTGGCAGTGTTAGGTTAACGATTGGATTTGATAATCTTAAAGGTCTTTTCCAACCTAAATGCTTCTATGATTCTATGGCAGACGAATCCACAACACTGGATGTGCAACCACTGCAACCTAGCTCCATAATTTAGTCAGGGGCTGCAGTGGTCCTTAGTAAGGGCATGGATACTCTGTTGGGAGCATGCGTACACCAACACAACAAAATACAAGCCAGATTATGCTCTCTGACCTGGGACGAGTGCATCTGCACACCAAGACCTCTACTTGTTTAAAACAAGTTATGTTAAGCAGAACTGGTCAGGGAGGTACCCAGGTTTGTCATTCTTAAAAGATTTATCACTGAGGGTCACAGGCTAGGGATTCTGGAACATTTGTCAAGCTGATCAGGCCTTATGTTTTTAAGTAAAAACATTTTCTTCCTAAACATCATTTGCATTGGTTAGTGTCCCTAGTTTTTCATTAGTGAAATAATGATAGTGTGTAAAAGTTTGGGATCCTTAATCCAGTTAGCATTAATTCGGCATTCAGAAGATATATAAGTCTTGTGGACAGCTGGCCTGGGTAACATGTCCATACCTGACTTTCCCTGTGTGGAAAACGGAGGAAGAGGCACTGACTATACTTCTAAAGCGGTTCTAAAATTTACTATCAAAAGCACAAAACCTGGGTATTTTTATTACTGTTATTATTTGAAATTATGCAGCAATAACAGGAAGGCAAGATCATCAACGACAGCTGAGCAGAGGTTTACTTAGGAAATGATGTGATGATCCAAGCTGACATTTTCATTGCTTCATAAACTCATTTATTACCTATGTTATTTGTTGTGAGAACCAGAACAAAGTGGGAAAGGAGGTTGCAGTGATCAAACTTAAAAGACAAAGGCTGCATGTGAACATTATGAATTTTTAGGAAAGTTGATATAAGAAGGAGCAGAGAAGATCCAGACTGTTGAAACTCTGAGAAAGGGACCATCAAGAAACACTCTGCAAGCAAACGATGAGTACCTGGAAACACCAGTCTTTGCATATTAATTTTCATGTAGGGCTGGGCACCAAAGCTTTCACAGAGAGGTTTTCCTTTCTCAGTTAAATTGCAGGCTGGACTTCTCTGAGATGGTGCGTCCAAACCACTGGGAGCTTTGGCAGTCTGACAAAGGATTGTCCCTGCCGAGGCTCAGCAAGCCCCCTCACAGGGATTTGGAGATGCAGCTCCTTCTTTATCCAGAGCTGCACTGCATAGACTTCTGTAAAATGTTTTGAAGTGTGACTCTGCCAGACCCTTGTGTCTGACAATTACGTTTGTTTAAGCAAGACCTCTGAGTTTGTAACAATGGAATTATCTATTTTTCAGGACAATTAACACAATGTTTTTGTGTGAGCTCAAGGTCAGAGGATTAATGTGGTTTTATCTACAATGCATTTTTAAAAGCTAATTAAGAATCATTCAGTTCACTCTGTACTAAAGACAGCACATTTCACATTAGATGACTCTTGCTCCTCTGCAGCAGCAAAAAGAGAGACAGAGAGAGAGAAGAATGGAGGAAGAGTGAGCTAGCATGCAAATAAACAAATACATCACAGGGATGCAGTTAACGGAGAGCAATAAAAAACTCCATTCTAGTAACACTAGAGATAAAATTGTCTCCTGGACAAAAGGGTTAATCTCAAATGTTAATCAACAAAAAATATTCAGTATTTGCAATCAGAAGCATTCCTTGTTAGACCAAGAGAGATGGAAAGGAATAGAGGGAAGTGCTGCTCTCAGAGCATTATTTTAGAGTTGTTTTTATCACCTAGTGCTTACGGAGCACCTCCTCCTCTCTCTCTCTCTCTTGTGCCTGACAGCCTGTACACACCCCCGTCTCTCTGTGGGGAAAGTTTGGTTAACAGGCCTTCTGTCAGTGTTGAGTGTTCTGGGAGGAGGTACGTGAGGGTGACCGGGGTGCCAGGCAGAAGGAGCTGTGTCCTGGCATGGGATCGGGTGCTGGTGTCTGTGAGGAGGCAGCATGCCCCACACGCACCTTGGCTTCAGGGACTGCAAAGGCTGGGGGAAGCAAAATGAGACATGAAATCAGAGGCATAGAAAGGTAGCACGAGGATTTGAAAACCAGGGCAAGGAGTTTATTTTTAATGCAGTGGCCTCTGCCTAGCCTTTTAATGGGAAAAGGTAAGAAAACTGGAAGCTGTTCCTACACTCTTGCTTTTGGATGCTTATCTATGCTGCTGATTCAAGTGCTCTGGGGTTCATTTGCTGTGTCTCCCCAAAGCATGTAAATACTATCAGACATTGAGGTGCCTCATTTCAAAACTGGGCTATGCACTACTCTTCTGTTGATCAAATGTGGCAATTATTTCAGGCTTAAAACCTTCTAAGGATAACAATAGGTGCTGCCAATCAAAGCTGGAAAGTTCACATGCATTCAAAGAGCACACTGAGTGAGGAATAACAGCAACATGTGTAGCTAGAATATATTATGGATTACCATCCTCTTACACAAAGGCTAGTAAACTCTTCAAAATGCAGCAGCCTATGGAGCTAATAAAAGGGACAGAAATGTGTGGATGTCTCGGTTTGTCTAATTTGTGTCTTTCTAGCATTGGTAGGATGACTCACTGGATTTAGCAACAGCTTGTGAAGATGAACATATTAATAACTTTATGCTTGAGCTCTGCCATAAAATGTAATCTTTTACAATTCTGTATTCTCTAGTGAAATACAAGCTTAGAACCAGAATAAAATTAGAAAAGATATTTGAATTGTCAGCTTATTTTCTTTTTAGGTCTGTGTTTATATATTTAAATATGCAACTTAACTTGGAAAAGAGTATTCCCTTTTATCCCCATCCCTTCCCCAGTGTGCCACTCACTACTATAAAAGACTGAAGCATATTTAAATATAGGGCTACCAAGATAGTACTCCAAGGTATTCTGTGTCATTCTGTGTATTTTGTATTGTACCAAACATAAATTAATATTTTTCTTCTCATCTATAAACACTTGAGTAGAAAAGCTTATGTAGAACATGTACAACTCAATGGCAAAGAAGCCACATGCATATTGGAATTTGTGTATGTAACACACAATGTTAGTAAACAATGGGATATATATCCTTCCAGCTTTTTATAAAATTCAACGGATTTGAGTAATTAGATAACAGAGCACAAGGCTTGCCTTCAGGACATGGTAATATAGCCCTGAATATTTCAATCCTATTTTAAACCTTTCTCCATGGTCTTAGGCATTCTTCTAGTCTATGCAAAGGTTCATCTGCATACTTGATGGCTTGTAGAATGTTATATAGAAAACATCTGACAAAGGGGCAACTAGAACTGATGTTTCTAGGTATTAAGATGAAGATCAAGCCATCAGACTGGCCATTTTCTTTCTCCTTGATTTTGATGAGACTTGAGAGAGTTCTACAGACTGTGTCACTTACTGGAGATACATTTACATTTGTGCATAAAACATACTTGCAAATTTACTGAAATAATGAGAAAGAAAAGTTACAACAATCCTATTGTAGAGAAGATCCAGATGTTAATTTCTAATCTTATTGAAAAAATTTATCTTTTTATGCTAAATAGCATGAAACACAATTGACGAGGTTCAGGACATGCACTAACTTTATTTTTGACTTTTTAAATGATTATTTTTTGGATGTGGATAAAGCCTCAGAAAAATAACTATTTTCTACCACATTAAGTGGTTCAATATGTTGTTGCTATTTATTGCTTAAAATGATCGGAATTTGTGAAATAATTAATGCAAAAATCTATGCACTGCATTCAGTTTTTCCATGCCATGCACCCTTTGAAACTACTTGTGCTCTTGATTGATTTAGTGCATAAGAAAAAAGAGTGTTTCTAACATTTTCATAAAAATCCCAAGCTCTCAAAATTGAAAATTACATGTATTATATATACACATACATATATGCATATATATAATATGCATAAAATACTATATGTGTTGTAATGGAAACACATCGCACATTTATATATAAAATATACTCTGGGATATATGTATATATACACACAGACACATATATGTCCAGCTTGGATTCTTAAGTGATTATAAATTACATACACCCCTATCTCAAATGTCTAAAACCTGAAAGTGCTTACACTAAATAGTCAGATATATACTGAAGAGACAGTCTTCAATTTCTTACCTTCTTTTTTAATTTCAGGGACAGCTGTCTTCTCATGAGCTTTCTCTTTTTTCCCTTCTTTTTCTAAGATTTAATTAGAGAAAGTAATTTGATATGCTAGAACTCTGAATCATACACTCAAATATGCAGTTAGCCAAGTCCTGGTGGGCACATGCTAAAAAATATGTGACTTATTTGGGAGTTTAGTTCAGATTATTCCCTTACAGCACTTGCACCCAACTAGCCACAGAGCAATCAGCTGAAAATGAAAATTAATCAGTACGCATCAACTATGGATGATTTGGACCCTTAATAATTCATCAAAGGCTAGGCGAAAATCATCAGTGCGTGAATGTGGTACCTTTTAGCTTAAGATCCAGTAGCAATGAGATCATTAAAAAATAATGAATGACATAAATATTTTCCCGTGAAAGCGAGACCTTAGTGGATTTCAGATGCTTCCTGGGAATGAATGATCCAAAATTTTATTTAGATGGATATCAAGGTTTTGCCTTGCTTGCCAAGTTTGGTCACTGCAAGTTTTGGTTGTGTTTCTACAAAATAAATAAGAAAATCTGCCCCACCTTCAGAAAGTGGTGTACCATAAACCAAGTGATGTCTCCCTGAGTTTTGTGTAAGGCAGTATCACTATGTCTTGCTGTATATAGAGACTCCATTAAATTTTTTGACAAGCCCATAGATGGTCACCAACCAGGACTTTTTATTTGTGAGAAAAAGAGTTTAGAAAATATTGGACACTGACCACATCAGACATCACATATTGAGGAAGCAGTAACATGCAAATAGTGACTAAGCAACTAAGAGAAGGGCAATACAGAGCCAGAAACATAGGATTAACCTAACAAAAAACAATGGGATTTAAGCCAGAAGTGGGAGTAAAATCTAAATGAGGCCAGTTAGGAACATTCTCAAATCATACCTTTCTTCTTAGTTTCAGTTGTAGCCCTCTTTACATCAACCTTTTTCTTTTCTTCTTTTCTCTCTAAAAAAGGAAATAGAAGTTCAGCTGACGACTTTTACATAGAGTGGTATATATACACACATGTATGTATGTATGTACATTTGGGATGGGAATCCTAACTGCAATAGGTTCTAGATTTCATAAACCATTCAGGTATTTAGGAGTGACTATCAACAGCTCAGAAATGCAGCCTAATACTCAAGAGAGAGAATGTGGCACTAAGGATGGAAGTGGAACCAGTACATACACCACATAATTACTTAAGTAAGTACTTATTCAAGAAATTATACCCATTAACTTGGTGTAACTAAGAATTTATTGTGGTGATTCAGTAGCCATGCACCTGTTCTGCTTTTTTTATGAAATCTGACTGAATGGCAACAAAACTTGAAAGTGGCACTTGGGAATAAGTGCTGAATGCCATGAAAAGACTGCATATATAATATATCTTTATAATACTTTTCATAAATTGAACCTTTGAAACTGTCATTACAGGACTCCTGTTATTCATGGAGAATTCCAGTTAAAGCATCATCTACAAAAGAACATGACTTGTTCTTTTACGAGCGTCTGCCTCCATTCTGTTGATTAAATGGACAACAGTAGAAATAAGGATAATGTTTTTGGTTTTTTTACAAAAGGTACAACAATTTAATTACTTATTCCATTAATATTGTTAATTACAATATTGAGAGTTCAGTAGACGAAATGAGGAAGCTATAATTCTTATTTTTCCTTTGCAAAATGAATTCCCATTTTGATGGGGAAGAATACAAGAGTACAAGAATAGCTCATCAAAATACTTTTTTTAACTGCTCATCCATAAAAAGCCAAATTTGTTACCTTAAGTTTGTGCTACATGGCATTGGGTGTTGATATAGTTAGTGGAACTATGGTTCTCTTTTTGTGATGTTTTATTGTTATGAAGGTGGATAAGAAACCAAGTTTTATTGCCATACAAAACTGCACGAACACAGGACCACATGCATTTAAGTAGGTCTTTTCTTTACTTGAAAAATATTTAAGGTATATTTTCTGAAGCGAGCAGACCCAAGAAGCAAATATGCTATTATCCTTTGCATAAATTAACATGAAGATAAAGGAAAAATGAATAAACTTACTTTTCACTTCTCTAGCTACCACAATAGACTTTTCTTCTGCATGAAAACATATACACAAACAGGGAATGAAAAAAAAATAATTGAAATACTGCACTGCATGCTTCCTAAACCAAAACAAAATATCTGTATATTTGATAGGAAGATTTTCCTTGAGTACGTGAATTCCACAGTCTGTCCATGGTGGCTTTATAAATAAAGCTATTTTGCCTATCAGGGAGGCAATGTATTTAGCAATATTTAGCGTCTCCCAAACCATACTTTTGCTGATTTTCTGACAAAAATGTTTAATGATAAGCATCATCTTGAAACGTTGCAGTTCTTTCTTGCTTTAAACAGATCTGTTCAATGTGTTTCCCTTGTTATTGTCTTGATAATGCGAAGCAGAAAATCCTTGCATGTGTTTTACAACACGTTTCTCCTAGTGTTTTGTGTGCTTAATTGTCCCTGCTGAAACCCTGAGCATACTGGACTTGAAGCTACAAATTCCTTTGTGTCATGAGTGTGCTTTATGATACTCAGGCTTCTTATGCGCGTAGAGCATCAGGGCAGTGCTCACCCTACACAAGCTTATTTGGAGCTTCATTTCCTTGTATATTTTAATATTCTTGTTATTGACTGTCTCTAGGTTTCCCAGGAGTCTCTCTCTCTCTCTTTGATGTGCAGTTCCAGACACTCATGCTAGGGACCATGGCTGCCTCCTCAAAACGGAAGACTCTTCAACCTCAGGTTACACGCAAGCCATTCCACAGCTCCACTTTCCTGTGCCACCTATGACTTTTCAGTGTTTCATTTCCACACACAATGTACTCTAATTTCTAAAATGTGGTTTAATTGTTTGCTTATTCTGTCTGATTTAACTGAAACTCTTAAAAATATCAAAGTCTATCAGCTACTGTCAGAAAAAAGCTTCCCTCTAACCATTGTCCTTCTAGCCTTTACTCCTAGGAAGTAGAAACTGAAGTGCTGCTGGTATTTCTGTGATTTCCATTTTTTTTGTGCATGCCTCAGTTCTATTGGAGCTGTTAACAGCTCCTCTCTTCCAGTTAGATAAATCTTTTTGCTTGGCTGTACTTCTAGTGTGAGGTGATGCACAGGAATAATTTGTAAGCTCAAGGTCCTTACAACCAACAACATTCTCTTCAACCAGAGACCATTTCTGCCTTTGAATTTGTAGTATTTTGCTTCTGGGGCCCAGCTACACCACATGAAATCTGTTCCAAGTTTCATAGCAGGGTCCAGAGCCATATGTGTCTTGAGAGCCATGAGCTGAGACATGGAGCTTTGAGAAGTGGAGCTTTGTATGGAGGATGTACAGGAAGTAGCAGGATTTTTTGTTGCAGATAACCTAAATCACTAGAAGACTACAAGCCTGCCTTCAGAATTTTTATTTATTATTTTATTTATTATTTATTTCACTAATTTATTCCACTGACATAATTTTCTTCCATCAATCTCTCAAGTCGCAATATTCAGAGTGTCCATGGAGCCTAGAGACATCCATATTTGTTATGAATTTTCTAGAAGAGGATTATATAGAGGTATTAATAGACAGTGGTCCCTATTTCCTATTAGCGCTGCCCAATGCAAGATATACACTCTTGGTTAAGTCTGAGAAATACAGTCACAGGGCTTCCATTCACATCTCAGCTGCATCTGGCCCCATTGATGTCCCCTCACAGCTACTACTTACAAAAGTTTATGTAAATGAGCATGACGGACTTGGTAAATAGTTATTATGGAAAGAGCTATTTCTGATTTAAGGAAGCAATCCCATTTCTTGAATGAATTTATTTCCTCTCAATTTGAGTATCTCACATTTAAATTGTTGCATATTAAGTGTATATTTAACACCAGCAAAACCTGTCATTTCTGAAGCAGTGAATGCGGTGGGTTTTCTCCAGATATCTACACAGTTAAAATAAGAGGCAGAGCAAATAATTAAATAGGAACTCACGCGGGTCTTTTGCACTGTAAAATATAAACTCCATCTGTTAATTGAAAGTACTTGGTTTTTTTTAGCTAGGAACAGTAATAGGACTACAAATGTCCGTGGATCAGCTGTGTAAAGAGTGGGTATAATATGCATGAACAGTGGGTTATACAGTGAAACACAATGTGTTTTTAATGATTCAGGGTTGACTATGCTATGAAATTCAAGTGCAATTGACTACTGAAAAATCTATTGTTATTGTTATTTTTTCATTATAACGGAATTAATACTATTTTTTTCACCAGGAGCACTAGTCCTGAACCACATTTTATGTACAGGGTGTAAGAGATATGCTTACAAAAAGACCTCAGCTTGAAAAGTCTTCAATGCCTTTACAAAAATGAAATAAGAATATGTGCAGATGGCAGAGTACAAAATGACAGAATCAGTCAGAAAGACAAGCAACGGACTTTGCATTTAGTCAAGTTTTTTTCTGTAGACTCTGTGCATAAGTGGAGCTTTATCCAGTTCAAGGAGGAATCCAGTGAGCACAAGAAGTGTGAATTAAAGCAGTGATGTGCTGCTGAATGGGAAATTCAGGTAAAATTTTTTCCTGGGGGAAAAATAAAAGAAGCAGCATAGAATAGTTTTCTTGGAAAGTGACTGGAGAAAAGAGAACAGCCCAAGGTAAAGAAACATCTGAGATGGAATTATTTAGTTCTGAATGAGGGGTGAGGGACTGAGGACACCAGTGGAAATCCAAGTAAGACTCAACAGAGACGAAGGAAGAAGTGTTTCAACCTTAATAGCCTTTACCAACTTTGACAATGTCTTTGTGTTATTCTGCTGGAATGTCAACTAATTGTTGGACAACAGGGGGAGGGGAGATAACAGAAACATGCTAGCAATGCAGCACTTGAAAACAGGCCTGGCAAGACCAGTGTGCTGCTGTGCCAGCACTGAGTGGAATCTAAATTTAGGGATGCATGTGTTGTTACTGAGCATAGTGTCACAGGAATACTGCCCAGGAACTGGAAGAGGAAAGTGGTCTAAGAGTTTCCTCTCCGTAATGCTCCAGGTGCTCCATGTGCTTACGGGAACAGTGAGTCTGGAAGGAATGGTCAGCTCATCCCATCCCCTCTGAGAAACTGAGGTAAGGAAGGCGGCAAAATGCAGCCACCAGTACCTTCTTGTGGAGAGGCGTGCGTATAACAAACACTAACTAGTGGGACTGAATGCCAAAAGCTTGGAGATGTTTTGGTTCAGACAAGCCTTCTAAAGTTCAGATACTTATACAAGGTTTATATGCATTTATCTAAACTCCTGCTGTCAGGAAACCTCAGGAGGAAAGCTCTTGTGACAGACTTTGGATATTGCCTGGCTTTATGAAATACTACAAGAGCTTTCCTTGCCTACTGATTCTGGTCCTGTCAGAAATGAGGAGCAGCACAGATACGTATATACTCACTTACATACAAAACAGAACTAAACAAACATTAATTTGTCTTTTCCTGAGAAACTATAATTCAGACTGAACACAATAACTTCATTCCAGGTAAAATTTCATTCCCTTTTTCCGCAAGCATCTCTGTATAATTTAAGCTGTCACTAGCATAATTTTAAAAGACCATTCAAAAAAAACCCCCGTTATATTTTAAAAACTGTATTTTCTTATTAATTTTTGAAGAGATTATGGTTGTTCTTCCTTTGTTTTAATTGGTAACTGAAATCCTTTCCTTGCTGAACTCAGTGAAAGTTTTGCTGTTGATTTCAGTGGGACCTAGGTATTCTTTTAAATATTAAAATAACTCAGTACCTATCAGCTTTTGATGATATTTCTTTACCCTTTGCATGTTGCTTAGGGTGGAGACTGACAATGACTGGTCAGTTGCACTTTTGATTCTAAACAATGAACATTCACACAATAAGGCCCCTTTAGGGTTACAAACATTTCGGAAGAATAAAAAAAA